TGAGTGCGAGGTTTGCGGGGTCTAAGTAGCGAGTAATCCACGGAGGCAGTTTATTTCTTTTGTCACTTTTCGAATATCTGGCGTCGGCAAAAACCATTAAAGCGAAATCCCTTTTCGAGCGAATCACGCGGCCCACGCACTGCGCTGCCTGCAGCAAACCCTAAACCCTAAACCCTAAACCCTAAACCCTAAACCCTAAAGCCGAAACGCTAAACCCTGGGGCCTAGGTTCGGGGCGTTACTGCACAGGTGAGGGTGAAAGGCAATGGCAGAGGCAGCAGCAACAGCAACAGCAGCAGCAGCTATGCAGCAGCAACTAGTACAGCAGCAGCAGCAGCAGCAGCAGCAGCAGCAGAAAACGCAACTGCAGCAGCAGCTGCTGCTGCAGCAGACGCAACTGTGGCAGCAAAACGCCTCACCTGCCGCATCGCGTCGAATGTAAGAAATTCGCTCTCTTGGATTTGGTATCTTTCCTGTGCACCAAAGTCCCAAACCCTAAACCCTAAACCCTAAACCCTAAACCCTAAACCCTAAACCCTGAACCCTGAACCCGTTGGCAGCTTCTCATCGAAGTCTAAACACTCGCTGTGACAGGTCAACCCTGACAAGCCCGAACGATTTGGTATCTTTCCTGTGCACCAAAGTCCCAAACCCTAAACCCTAAACCCTAAACCCTAAACCCTAAACCCTAAACCCTGAACCCTGAACCCGTTGGCAGCTTCTCATCGAAGTCTAAACACTCGCTGTGACAGGTCAACCCTGACAAGCCCGAAGCCCCAAACTCCAAACCTGAAACCCCAAAACCCTAAACCCTAAACCCTAAACCCTAAACCCTCGCTGACCCTCAAGAAGTCCAGCCGCGCCTTCAAAACCCTCGAAAGAGCGTATTGAAAAGGAATTCCAAAAAGCACCACACAGCGTCCGAAGTGGCGGTCAAAGTCGACGCCTTCTGCCACCTTTCCCCTAGACGCACAACCCTAAACCCTAAACCCTAAACCCTAAACCCTAAACCCTAAACCCTAAACCCTGAACCCTAAACCCTATTCCTCTCTAAAGCCGCCGCCAAGGGTTTGCGCGACTTCGCCGTTTGCGCTCAAGGGCAGGCCGCAGACGCTAACGCCTTGGAAACAAAGTTACCCCAAACCCCAAACCCTAAACCCTAAACCCTAAACCCTAAACCCTAGGCCCACCGCGCGACGGAGAAGAAGACAGCGCCCCTGCCGCAGTCGCAGGCCTTTTTGAAATTGAACAAAGCGAGGGTTGTTGTGACAACATCTTTTGTTTCCAAAAACACTAATTTGTGTTCCAGCACTTGGGCCAAAAACCCATTCTCGTACCTGCGCAAAACCCTAAACCCTAAACCCTAAACCCTAAACCCTAAACCCTAAACCCTAAACCCTAAACCCTAGGCCGCAGCTCGCACACAGCAGCTCCGCAGCTGCCGCCCGCATCGCCGCGCGCAGCTGCCCACGCGCAACCGCCCGCGCAAAACCCCAAACCCCAAACCCCAAACCCCAAACCCTAAACCCTAAACCCTAAACCCTAAACCCTCACCAGAAAGACATGGCGGTTTCCATGTACGCGTAAGAGGGAAAGAAACAAACCACTCCGTCGGGAACAAACCTGCAAAGGTCCAGCAGCAAATTGGCGTAGTTGCGCAGCACCCCCACATCGTGGCGGTATTCAAACTTGGAGGTCAGCGGCACCTGCGCGCAAACCCTAAACCCTAAACCCTAAACCCTAAACCCTAAACCCTAAACCCTAGACCCTGGCCGCTACGCCCTGCGCGCTGCAGCCCGCTGCCCGGAAAAGCCGCCGGCCGAACGCTGCTCACGCGCCCAGGGGGCAACGGCGCGTGCAACGAAGCGCAAACCCTAAACCCTAAACCCTAAACCCTAAACCCTAAACCCTAGTCCGACAGCCGAAACCCTAAACCTCAAACCCTAAACCCCAAACCCTATAGCTGATTATTTTGGCGCGTTGACGGAGACTCTGGAAGCCGAGGCCCCAACGAGTGTGAAGGCAATCCGGCCTGCCCCTAAGTGCGCGCTCAGGGTTTAGGGTTTAGGGATTAGGGTTTAGGGTTTAGGGTTTAGGGTTTGAGTACCTGATCAGCTCCTCTGGCAACAATCATGGGGCAGAAGCACGCGCGCTCCATGGAGACCGGGAAGGACTCGGCAATGAGAGGCTGCGCGCCACCACCACAAACCCTAAACCCCAAACCCTAAACCCTAAACCCTAAACCCTAAGCCCTAAACCCTAAACCCAAAAGCCCGCAGCTGCGCCTGCAGCGGGCGCATCTGCTGCTGCCGTCGCGCGTCGCGGGAGCGGCGCCGGCGCACGGCGGGGCGCAGCGCTCAGCGCCTAGGGTTTAGGGTTTAGGGTTTAGGGTTTAGGGTTTAGGGTTTACGACGAAGGAGAGGATCTTGGGGTATAGTTCGAGAGGGGAAATTGTCCCCGATGTCAAAATGACAGATTTAAATCGAGACAAAACTTGCTGCATGGCCAGCGAGGCGTCTAGACAGCAGAGCTGCAGCAGCGGGTCGTGCAGCCCCGAGGCCTCGGGGTAAGGGTCCACTATGACGATGAACCCGTCCCTGCAGCCGCAAACCCTAAACCCTAAACCCTAAACCCTAAACCCTAAACCCTAAACCCTAAACCCGCGTTCACGGCCCTCACCCGCCGGCGCGCGACGCACGAAGCGGCACACGCAAACAAGCGAGGCTTCATACAGCTCTCCACCCGC